CATCCCCAATAGTGAATGTTTCGTTCACTGGATCTCAACCCAAACCGGTATAAGTTGACAGTTTATGGAATATCTTCCACTCATTCTTCACTGAATCCCAGTGAAACATTTACACTTCAAGAATATTTACAAATATTCATAAAAAAAATTCATGAATATTCACACTTCAAGAATATATTCACACAAATATTCATATCAAATAAAGAAAAAAATTCAATCACAATTAAAGAATATATTCACACGAATATTCATCCAACTTAAGCAATTTTTTTTGCATGATTTCTAACAAAAAAAAACGCCCAAAAGAATTTCAGATTTCTCATATGAACACACACAAAAACAAATCAAACCAGAGAAAAAATCATCCGAAAAACCAAACATGGAGGGGAGAAGTTTGGGCGAACACACCTTCTAGTCACAAGCGGTTGGACGGTGGAATATCATTGTTGAAGTTGTCCAAACATAGATCTGTGACCAGAGAGAAAAGGGGAGTTTCAGATTTCAGAAAAACGCAAAAAAAATAGCCTCAAATCGATGGAATACTACAGAAAAACAAAGATAAGAGAAAAACGACAGGTCCGCCTGCCGTTTTTTGCTCACCGTCGAACATTGCCGGTAGACCTGCAACTGACGTCGTCGCTGCCTGGTATGTTATAAGGTTTTGAATGGAGGAGGAGGAGGAGGATAACCTCACATGGGGATATTTTTTTCATTAAAAAAAACAAGGACYGGTTCATCCCATTCGAATGAAGCACCACTTCAAAAAGTGCTGAAAAAAAAAGCCACATACAGGTCACTTTTTTAAAAAGTGCTTTCTTTTCCCCACTTTTTTTACCAAAACACCTATAAATACTTAAAAACCACTTAATGTATGGTCCTATCTCTTAAAAGTACTTGTTAAAAGAAATACTTTTTAAAAGTGAAACTGAACAGGGCACAARTCGTATGTGAATTCATATAAACATTGCTTCACCATAAAATGATTTAGTCAAATGTCAAAAACACATCATACAAGCAATTGTTCTCCTAAAATCCCTGATGATATGCATATGTACGCCTTTAATTTATATCAAAGTCTTGAATAAAATTTCGTCGAATGTAGAAATCTTAATGTTGTATTCATGACGTCGAGTGTTGTATTAGGAAGGAAATAACGAAACATGCATGACAAGTTACATCATATACCCTACATATATACGAGGTGCAGAGCGACTGATCATGTCATAACAATCTTACACATGCAGAATCATTTAAGGCAAAGCAGATGGATCACTTATTTGCCAATGCATCTTATGTATTATTATGAAGCGGTCCTATTTGAACATTTAACATCTTTGTGTCTTGATATCTACACATAAAATCCAAATTATATGACTTGCTCAAAAAGCTTACAATTAATTTATACAATCAACATGGATTGTGATCTTATTTGACTTCTAATAATTAGTTAATAACCTGCTCATCACAACCTCGATCCATAGCCAGACCTATTTATATTTAGAGAGAGAGAGAACTACCTAAATCCATCTAGTGTCTTGTGGGTGGATATATAATCTAAGAGAGTAAGAGAGTTATGATCTAGCCAAGCATTTCAGCTTCTAAAAGCAAATAATGTAACATAGTTATAACTCAAGCATTATCATCACCTTCCTTCATATTTGGGTGCACCAATGTAATCCAACCATATTTAAGCTCTTATATATATATATATATATATATATATATAATGCTAGATGGACAACAAATGATTTATTGGAGCTGTGATTTTGTTTGGTGGAGTAGGGAATTTAATTCACTAGTACAAATTGGAAATTAATGGCCGAAAAAGTGAGTTGTAAATACAGTCTTTAAGAAGCTAGTGTAGGCATTTCATTGAAGAGTTCCCCTTATTAGGTTAAATTGTTTGAAGGTTTGTTGTAGAGTAGTTGGTTTTGGAGAGACTCTTAAAACTCTTCCTGAACACTGAGGATAGGAGGAATTGTTCCATGGGTGGTGGATATTCAACATTTCAACTACCCCCCTTTAACTTCAACCCCACCAATTTATGCTAGCCACATGGGAATGAAGTCAACTTTAACTAGACCTCCATATGCTTACACCTTCCTTTATAAACCACTCTTGTTGGGAAAACTTAAGGGAGCTATTGCTGTCTAATTCTCAATACTGAAAATAATTAAGTAGCCACACGACACCAACCAACAGCCCTGTTACAAATTAAAGATCAATGTTAGATGTTCAATATTAAATGAAAATTGACAAGAGACTATGATGAACAGGCTTCTTTAATTTTGGACTTTTGATTGAATACTTAAAAGTGATCTTTTTGGACTGTGAAGTATTGATATTACATAATGGGGAAATCGGTGGGAAATTGTTATATACATTTAGGGTCCATTTGGTTTGCATTCGATATGGAATCAAAATTCCTTAGAACCGGAATCAGAATCACCTATTCCTCCACCTGTTTGGTTCAAATAGGAATCAGAATTGGATTCCATAAGATATGCATGACTCCCAAGAGCTGGCGTTGGGCAAAGAGAATTAGGGGTTTGAGGATTTTTAAATAATGTCTTTTTTTTTGGCCAGATGGAATGAGATTTTCATTCCCAAGGGGGGAGGCCAGAATGGC